ATGAAATGATGGTTGCCATTTTTGAGGTGAGTTTTTGGGGCAAATTTCCAGTTTTAACCAGCCTCCGATTTTTTAAACCATTTTTTCAAGGAAATATTCCTCGTAGAGGTTGAAGAGACCGACGTGCGTAGATAGAGCTAAATGGACACAGCCATCTTATAGCGGGAGGAATAGAGTGGGATAGGATATAGTATAAGATGCAGAGGCCTTACAGTCACCGCTGAATGATGAAAATATAATGCGCACTTGCCTTTCAAATTCTAAGTCCATCAGCTTGTTTACCTTGTGAAAATAAAGACTGACCGATGAACGCATTTTCTTATCAAACTACTTCGTGTATTACTACACACTTGTCAAAACATCTGTGTCTGATGTTACACATTTATGCCTTTAAAGTCTTTTATTAATGTTATTATACTTCATTTGGATATTTTGATATTTATCTATACCCTCATATAGAATCGTGTGCATCGAGTTTCACACTTTCTTGCGCCAGCCACAGGTTGACAGCTCACCAGCCCGCTCATTTCGAGCTAGAACGCCAGTGAGAAATGTTGTGTTTCCAGTGTTGTGTTCATTTTTTTTTTTTTTTTTTTTTTTTTTTTTTTTTTTGAAGAATTGAAGAATATTTAGACTTTAGTAACCATCCCAGTTTTATATCTGGGCCCATTGAGAGCTCCAAATGATGAAAAAGGTGATTAAATCAAAGCAATAAAGGTATTTGGTTTATTATTTTACCGTGTGAATGCAGGTCTATCTTGCTGTGCATACCAAGGTGGAGAGAATGTGTCCCGAGGGGTGTTGGGGGGCTTGCCCCCAATCAACCCACCCCTCGGGCAGACACCTAGTCATGACATTTTATATTGTTATATTACATTGGTTTATTGGTCAATACATTTTTTTGGAGGGGGGGTTGGACCATGTGAATTCCCATAGAGTTTTGCTGAAACGTGGATTGGGTTCCCGTAGAGTTTTTGATTTCTGGCGCACCAGCCCGTAGAATTTCAAAGATGGCAGTTACATCCGTAGAGTTTCATTGGCCGATTTTAAGCGTTTTTTGTGCTAGATTTATGCATTTTTTTATATTTATTCTTATTAAGCCTGTTTTACCCCATAATTTCCCTGATATACTTCATGCGCTCCCCTGCTAATGGGACTATCAAATCAAGATCGATGATGGAGAAATGGTACTCAATCTCCTGAATGATTCATTCCCTGAAGAAACAACGCTGAAAGGATTTCTGGATTTTCTGCAGAAAAAACAATTTTTTCGACTGTAACAACTCTCTGTAACAATTACCATATTCTTCTACTGTTTAGCGCTGTTATGCTGTTTTCCATCGCATTTCACTTGTATTCCTTGATGACATAGTTGATAAAATGTGTAAGCATCAGCTTCATAATGTGTTATGGAGTAAATTGGCTTGATTTACGCACAGCAAAATAAAACAACAACAAGAAAATAACTATAAAATGTCTTAAATTTCTATGGGGATTAAAGCCATGTTTCATTTATGCAAGTATAGTTTACGATTCTGTAGTTAAATCAATACAAATACTAAATCATGATTGAATAAAAGTAACAATGTATTTAGTAAGTTTCCTGATCCAAT